AATCAGGTAATTGGATTGTAGGTTATTATTTTTACTACTTGTAGAGAAGCCATGTTATATGAATTATAATGTTTATGATTTTGATCAAAGACTGGTGAAAACTGAAACTGGTAATAATGATTTTATTTTTGTCTTCTCTAGGAGCATACTCAGAGCTCTAAATTTGAATTCAAGGTTTTTTTTTTTATCTGATTTTCAGAAAGAAGATGGATTACCTTGCGATGATAGACATTTACCTACTGCTGGAAGACCAGAATATCCTGAACGCGATCCATATGATCGCCCTCCTCTTGATCCATATCTAGATGACAGAAGACATCTCCCACCACCACCTGAATATTTTGATAGATTTAGAGATCCCTATGACAGGTACTGTAGGTTAGATTAATTAAGTAGGTTTTCAACTATAATGGTATCTGCATGTAACAAGGTACAGCTTTTTACAAGGATTTAAACTAGTTGCTAAATGGTACATGCAATATTGACATAATATTTTCAAGTTTTGCCAAATTATTTCCTCATCAAAGAAAACTTTATTACATATTTTTAGGGACCCTTATATGAGAGACCGTTATCCACCAGATCCTTATTTGGACAGAGATCCATATATTGACCGCTTACCACCACCTAGAGATCCTTATTTAGATCCTTATGCCAGAGATCCTTATCTTGCAAGAGATCCATATTTAGATCCATACAGAGACAGACTATTAGAGAGAGAAAGAGATCCATACTTTGCTTCCGATCCATTAAGGAATCCTTACAGAGTTGCTGATCCCTTTCTGGGTAAGATGCACCTTTAAGAGCGAATGTTTTAATAGTGAAATAATATTATGAACCACAACACCAAACATTTGTTGCATCAAGGTCACCTTCATACATTTATTGTTCATAGCAGATTGACAAAAATGGAACTTTAGTAACAATAATGTATATGAATTTTGAACAAATGAGTGTACTGTATTTACAGATAGAAGTCCTGTTATAACAGCCTCTCCAGTAGCTGAAATACCTAAGACTGTGATAGATTATGATCATGGTAAAAATATGAGTGCTGATAAAAGTAGCATAGACAGAAGCAGGGATAGAAGTATGATGATTTCTTTTTGTTTTGCACACATGTACCTTTTGTCCATCTGTTCACATTTTAATCATGCTCATTCGTACCAATGCAAAAATGCAAAAATGATGCTTTTCGATTTTTGTGATGATGGGACAACACAGATTCCCAGCTTTGTATGCAGCCTGCAACAAGTATGCATCATACATGTTTTTTAATCATTTTATGTTTAAGTTATCAAGTTGATGGATTGATTTAATTTGTTTAGGTTTAAGTCATTTTTATACGCCCACATGAAATGAAGGGCATATATTGCCGTCACCCATGTCCATCCGTCCTTCCGTCCGTCCACAATCGCTCATAAACACTCCAGAAGGCACAATCCTTGAGTGATTTTGATGAAAGTTGGTATTATTGTTTGAAATCACTCAAGGATGAACCCTATTGAAAATCAGGAAAATTGAAAAATATTCAGTATGAGATATTGCCCTTGTTCTTGAAAACGCTTTCAATTTTTAGCCCGTAAACACTCAAGTAGGCACAATTCTTGATGAATTTTGACGAAAATTGGTGTGAGTATTTGAAAATTTAAAGAATCGAAAAAATTTAGTATGAGTTATTGCCCTTCTTGTTAAAAAACGCTTTCAAGATTTAGCCTGTAAAGAGTCTAGAAGGCCCAATTCTTGACAGATTTTGACAAAATTATATTATTCAGTATAGCCCCAAAAAGGTCAAAAGAAGTATATGAATGAAGGTTGAATACATGTATTTCATACTGGTATTGCTATTAAAAATCAAAGCTGCCAATGGGTATTATTACCTTGTCTGGCAAGCTATCAATGCCTTATAATTTTAAGTGACATTTGTTTCTTCCTAATTTAGGTCCAGAAGCATTTAGAAGTCATAGATCAACTAGTCGCGATAGAGATCGTGACAGAGATCGAGACAGAGACAGAGATAGACGCAGAGACAGAGAGGAAGATAGAAGGAGAGAAAAACAAGAAAAATTAAAGAAAATCGAAGTGGAAAGAGAAAAGAGAAGACTGAAAGATAGAGAAAGGTTACGAGATAGAATTAGAGATAGACTTTATGGTGAATGGAACAAAGATGAACAGTAAGCATTTATTTTTTTTTTGTTAGTTTTGTATTCATAATCTCGGGAATATATGTCTTCATTGTTTCTTGTTATTAAAACCTTAGTGATTTAGGTTTTTGCTTTCTGACCTGGATGGTCAGGTGTAATCCTGAAAGAAAGTGTGAAGCATTGATTTGCTTGTAAGAAAACAAACACAATTTTTAGTTGCAACAGGCAACTTGAAAAGTTTTCAATAGTAAGAGCAGTTTGCTTGAGCAAATTTCTCCTTCTGTATGTTGTCAACACCAGTTTTAATCTTTCCATCACATTATTTTTAGGGCTATTTTATCATCCCCTCCACAAACAGAAAGAAAAATATATCAATCTAAAATAGAGACAGCCAAAGTAGAAGATTTATTAATAAAACCAGGAAGATTATCCCGACCATCATTAATAGTTGTAATAGTTCGAGGTTTACCTGGCAGTGGTAAAACATATGTTAGTAAATTAATTAGGGTAAGTCAAGACCATAAATAGTTGTTGTAGTTAATGATGAACTTTATCTTAGTGAATTAATTAGGGTATAAGGGGGTGAAAGCCGACACTAACTTACTCTTGAAAGCACAGGTATCATAATTAGAGTAAGTCAATACATTTATCAGTAAGATCTCACCAATTATAGTTCATAGTAAAACATAATGTAAGTGAATTAATTAGGGGGTAAGTCAATACATTTATCAGTAAGATCTCACCATTTATAGTTCACAGTAAAACATAATGTAAGTAAACTAATTAGGGGGTAAGTCAATACATTTATCAGTAAGATCTCACCATTTATAGTTCATAGTAAAACATAATGTAAGTAAATTAATTAGGGGGTAAGTCAATACATTTATCAGTAAGATCTCACCATTTATAGTTCATAGTAAAACATAATGTAAGTGAATTAATTAGGGGGTAAGTCAATAAGATCTCACCATTTATAGTTCATAGTAAAACATAATGTAAGTGAATTAATTAGGGGGTAAGTCAATACATTTATCAGTAAGATCTCACCATTTATAGTTCATAGTAAAACATAATGTAAGTAAATTAATTAGGGGGTAAGTCAATAAGATCTCACCATTTATAGTTCATAGTAAAACATAATGTAAGTGAATTAATTAGGGGGTAAGTCAATACATTTATCAGTAAGATCTCACCATTTATAGTTCATAGTAAAACATAATGTAAGTAAACTAATTAGGGTAAGTATAGGATTGGATCTTACACTGTCTCTTAAATGATCTTTTAATCTAGTTTAAATGAGTTTTAAAGGGACAGATGCTCCATTTTGGGGGGTTGATTTGAGTCTTGAATATATGTAAATAATCTTCAGAATTACTAGAAATATATGAAAATCGTATAATTCCTTCAAAAATATCTCTATCTTCAAATTTATTTTACTATTTCTATAGATGTTTTTCTATACGCTTATAAGTGTCGAAAGAAAAACGATTGGTCTATTTAACTTTCAAACACGGAAAATTCTGGTCACACATGGATTTGAAGGATCAAAATTCAACGGAGAGTTGTGAACACTATAACTGATAGCTTTACTAGAAAAATTCCTGTTTCTGAGACTATTAATAGTATGATTTGTCAATAAATAGTGCAGCTGTCCCTTGAAGAATAAAATATAATAAGTTAAGAAGAAATGGAAATACTTTAGTACTCTTTATGATTTGTTTTTTTTTTGGTCATATTTCCTTGGATGAAGATTGTCACTTTCATCGGATTTACAAAAATCATTATAAGCTACTTACTAGACCAAATGTGAATAAAATATATGATCCAACACCAAAATTGATTTTGTTTACTTACCAGGATAAAGAAGTGTCTAATGGTGGAGCTGCTCCTAGAATGCTGTGTTTAGATGATTATTTTATGGTAGAAGTAGAAAAAAAAGACAAAGATCCAGAGACTGGCAAACAAATTTCAACTAAAGTAAATATTTCAAGTCTTTTCATCATCATATTTATAACTGGTTTTTAATAAGCAGCTATGTGGTATCAGTCTGACCAGACAAAGTTTGATGCATCAAAAAAAAACTAAACTGTTGCTAGTACATGTAATAGTCAATCAAAAAGACATGTTTCACACTTAAAGAAATATTTTTCTATCCCAGGTGCTAGAATATCAATATGAAGCAGAAGTAGAAGAAGCTTATAGACAAAGTTTATATAAATCTTTTAAAAAAACCATTGATGATGGCTTCTTTCCCTTTATTGTTATTGATGCCACTCATGAAAAAGTGAAACATTTTGAAGAATTTTGGAGCTATGCAAAATCTAAAGGTTTCCAGGTAAGATGAAAGTATTTGTGTTTGTAAAACAATATAGAATATTAACATTAGCTTTATAGCTGAAAAAAAACTAAATTGCTTTTTAGATTTACATGTGATGCTTTATAAATAAAACAAAAATATACTTAACTCAAAGCTTTGCCAACACCTCAAGCTGATATGGAAAGAACATTGTCTTCAAACTCATTGTTATTTTATAGCAAATTTTGACCTCTTTCAAGAAAGATAACTCTATAAATACTGAATATATACCAACCCATCATTTTAGGTGTATATTGTGGAAGTAGAAGCTGATGTTAGTACCTGTATTAAAAGAAATATTCATGATTGGCAACAAAAAGATGTGGAAAGGGTAGGTTAGGCTTTCATTCTATAATCTGATAAACACCTTATTTACTAAACCTGGTATAAGAAAGAAACTTTACCACGACTTCAAAATCATTGCTTTGTTGACTGGACTGTAGAGCAATGGACTCACCATTCTTGTCCAGTCAAAACAGTGTAGGCTAGTTCTTGACGGAGAACAGTTCATTTTAAACGAGCCAATTTTTAAGTCAGCGCAAATACTGCTTATGTGAGACTTTTAAATTTATTGACACATATCTTTTATTTCTACTTGTCAGCATTTTCCCATTTTGATTATGCATAAAGCTGTTGTTAAATTAGGTTTGAATCAGGTGTTTACAAATTAATTACATACACAGTTATGCTTTATTTTGATTTTTATTCTTATTACAGATAAAGAAAGGATGGGAACCCACACCTTCACATTTTATGCGATTAGATATAAGATCTTTATTACAAGAAGATTCCATCACAGAGGTATGATTAATATTTTATTATATATGAAATTTCATTGCAATAAATCAATGACATGATTATAATGATTTTAGCACTAGATTTTAATCTGATTAACATAAAATCTATTATTATTTTATATATAGGTTGAAATGGAAGATGAATCTAATGATGATACTAAACAAACAGTAGGTGATGTTAAAACATCTGATGATGAAGATGATCAGTTAGAATTTATTGCAGTAAGTAGAGAATCTAGTTAAAGGCTTCTTGGGTAGATATTGCTAAATATTACAAAACAACATCTAGATAGAACTCATAAGATATGATGAACAATATTGATTATAAGCAATATTTAAAAAACCTCTGCCCATCAATCAAAAAAACAAAACAAAAGCTTTTGAAAATGAACTCAGGGCTGGTGTTGAATATGTGTTGGTTGTGAGAATTTTGATGAGTTTGTATTGGATCATAATTCAAATAACAAATAATCTACTGAATAATAATCAGCTTATTATAAAGGCTACAGGTTTAATTTATTTCTAATAAATGTTGAAATTTTAGATAGACTTGTAATTTTTGATATTTTATTATAGTTTCTTATCTTGTTTAGGAAGCAACTTATTTTTAAAAACTGATTTTATTTACAGGGTTACAAGAAATCTAAATGGGAAATTGCTGACAAGTCTGAATCGCAGATGGGTGTGTATGACATTTTTAGTATCTAATTGCATTAAGAGATTAAATGGCAGTTTTCTTGAAATTGATCATGAAATAAATTTTGTAAATAGTAATGAAAATTTGATAGATTATATCTTGAGTTGGGTGATTATATTTCATTTTTGATGATTTTTAGATAAATTGGATGGTATTCGTAAAAGAAAAAGAACACCCTCACCACAAGGTTGGGATGATTATCTACAGATTGCAGGCGAAGATTATTTTAGTCGAGTATCAGAGCCAGGCAAGAAACGGGTAAGTTCAATTCTCGGAAATTTGCAAATAACTTTAACTTTTATTGTTTATGAATAAGATACATGTAAGTTCTGAATTTAGATGTAAGCATGTGAGAGATTTCAAGAAAATAATTTATTTCAATGAAATAGATATAAAAACTATAAATGTATTACTGTAGCAGGTGGAATTCAACACCGTCTTTCTGTTATACACAGATAAAACACCAATATACTTAATTTACAAAAATTATCTCCCTTTTTAAAATGTTTTTTAAACTAATGATAATATCATAGAAATTTATTACCAATTTTTTTTCATTTAAGAAGAGTTAACAAAATAATGTTTTTATTTTAAACATTCTAATTTTTATTGCCTGTCAAATGATACAGTTACTTTAGAATTTTTCTTCTTTTTTTTTTGAGTTATGAGAGATGATAATAAGCTTTTCCTAAATTTTGTATTTTTTCTGTAGACACTTAAAAATTTATTGCCATTTTAAATCTAATTGTAAACATTGTTGATTTAGATGTCATTGAAAATAATAATTCATGATTTTAGATTGTAACTAATTTTGATGATTTGGTTGTTTTAATCATATTTACATATTATGTTGTTGATAAAGGTACGCTGGGTGGATATTGAAGAGCACAAGCAGCAGTTACGTCAGCGCCAGCTTGGTTTCGTCATTGGTCAAACTCAAAGAGATTGGGACAGAATAACAGATGATAACTTTGCACATAGAGCCATGAATCAAACTAAATATTTCTAGTGCTGTACAGGTAAGAAAATTCCTTTATCAATGGTTCTTTTAATTGCCTTTGTAAAATGACCTGATAATTAAGGTCAAAGACTTTTATATTTATTTAGTTTTCAAACAGTGTTAAATCCAAGCTTTAGTTCTGAATGTTGTAATGACTGTATTGTGTTGATATTTTGTAACCAAAAATAGAAGATTGACAGTAGGTAAGTGTTTAATAAATAAATTTTTTTTGATCCCTTTTCGTAAATTTATAATTGTAACCCTAACCTTTAAAAAATATCTTGTCTCAAGGGTTAAGAAGTAACACAAATTTCAGTGTTTCATATGACCAATATAAGACAACCATTTTATCCCAAATTCTTGCAAACAACCGGAAATGTAATATTCAGGGTCAAAGTACTTTTGAGTTTTGTTGAAAGGGATATAGGTATTTAATGTTTATTTTGATTGTCATCGAACGAATCTGGTTAATCTACAAATACATAAAATTATCAGAAATGGTGATAGTATGAGTTTCCAGACATGTTTTAATACATTATAATGTAGATGTTACTGATACTAAAAGGTAGCTAGAATTGAGTTCTATTGGCCTGTAAAGAGATAAATTAGACCACTTTACACTTGTGTAATTCATATCCCTGAGATATAATGCTTCTCCAGAACCGTTATTGATAAAAGGAAAAATAATTTTTGTAACCATATATGATAAAAGACTCAAAGTGTAATTGTGTTACAGACACTTTTTACTACAAAAGAGGATGAGTATGAAGTCAAGTTTTTGTTTCATCAAAAAGAAATATGTAATGACTGGGCATTGTATGTACTACCAACTCTTTATTAGTTAAAACTTGAAACACAACCACGTGAAACTCCCTTTCATAATCTTTTTAACCAATTATTCTTCTGAGAACCCCTTGAGATGGTTAGTCAACCTGCCCCTATCCAAACCAAAACTACCTGCTATACAGTATAGCGCTTAATGGCTATTATAAGATGTTAAAACACCTACTATAGGAGGATGTGTATAATGAGTTATCTAATATGGCATTATGACACCTCTATCATACTTCATGTTTATAAATAAATTCATGAAATTTGGATAGTTTGTATATCATAAAATGGGAATACCACCCATCTCGTATATAAACATCATATTTTATACATGATAATAATCTTTTATATATACCATATATCATTCATAGATTAGATGTTCTCCCTCTGATTTTATAGACAAGACAAGCCTATATTAAGGTTATCTTTTTTAGAAAATTTTATTCTTTAATGTGTTGATTTGTGAACTATTTATTGCATTACAACCCAATGCATGTTACACCTTTTCTGTTGTATGTATATAGAGATAAGATGATACATTCTACTAAGTGTTATATTGACATACATGTTTAGGTGTTGCATAGGTCAAGATCTTTCCTTTGCAAATACCACTCTGAGTAAACCTGAAGTATTAACATTAGTATTATTTTGCCTGTAATACTGATTGCCTAACAGGAGTTAACTTTTACCATATTTCTGTCATCATTCAACTTCAAAAGATGCATAATTCAGAGAAAAAGCTTATGAAATGGCTTTCAGTTCAGATTACCTTTGTATTAAGTCCAGGTATTGATTATGAAACCTTAGCATTCTTTGTGTTCATAATTATCACAAATAAATTACTCAGGAAACCTTAATGAAAATCTGACATGTGGCTCAACTTTACATTCATTGAATGAGTGTTGAACAACATAACTGAATATGAATACGTTAACTTAAAGGCTTTTAAACACCATGGAAATGAGGTTTCCAAACCTTAATTCCCGCCATATTGCCCAATTTCTGGTTTTCCTTCTCTATGTTAAGTGTTCTTGATTCCTAATAATTTGTTTTCTACCATACACAAAAAGTAATTGTATGTCTGATTTATACTTATTTTGTAAATATTAGAAGTGCTATGCTCAAGATCTTAGATCTACAAAAGTATAAAATAGTACTGACACTTTATCTTATAAAACTAAATTAAACAAGACAAGCCTGAATTAAATTGTAGAATGTCAGTTATTTAAGATGTGATAAAAGTGTGATAAAAAATAATATTACACTGAATAAGACAATCACATCTTTATTTCAGTAAGTTGTAGATTAAGTGTTTTAATGATAAAGGTAACATTTGGGGGTGTCAGGCCTTGTTTGTATAATTGTTGATAGATACACTGCAGTGTTTCTCACTGTACCTAGTATGTAATCTATTAAATACCTCTGTCTTAACGACCACCCATACTATATTATCTCATTTATTTTATATATTGTACAAGTATAATAGATCTAGACTCAGAAAGAAAGCGTTAAAATTCTAAATAGTTTAGATGTTAGATAACATCAAAAGAACTTTAATTATTTTAATGACTTTTCATGTGAAAATAAGAACTCATAAACTATGTTTTGTGTTCAGATATTTTATTATTATCATGTTGAAATATGTTACAGCTTTAAAATAAAAAATTTTGTGAAAGTAATTTAGCATGTAAGATGGTATATTTTTTAAAGCAGTAATTTTCAACCCAAAACATGCCAAGCAATGCTTTCATTCACAAAGAAAAATTTATACTAATGAATTTGATATATAATACATTTATAAAAATAAGCAAAAAGTGGATGTATTTATTGCAAAAATTGCACATGCCCTGCAGTGAGACCTTGATCTTTTGGTTAGAATTTTATTCTGCTATAGTGATAAATTGTCTTGCCGTGTAAAAAGATTATCAGTATTATTGCCCTGTTCAATGAGCTCTTTTGTCAAGATTCATCATTTATCATGTATGAAGTAAAAGATATCATTATTATGTGATTTAGAAAGAGAATAATTCTTCAATATGTTGTAATTTAATACAAATTGTTTAGATGGTTCATCATTTTAATTCTGTAGCTATAATACTTACTGAACTCTGTTACTTTATTTTAATGAAATCTATGGAAATGTTAGATAAACACAATTAACACTCTCTATTGGCCTAATCTGCCAATCGTAGAGTTTTTATAACACAGTGAAGTATAAGAATCAAACCTCTTGTCTTGTGTTGAAAGCTTTATATATTTGTCTGATTTCAGTCAGCCAAATTCTCATTAAAGCCTGGTTGATACATCTTATAACAGGCTATAAATCTACTTATATTTCAAACAATTTTAAACACTCTAGTAAATTGAAATGTCTGTTTTCTGCCTAATCTTGCCTATATTATTATAGACAATTATTAAAACTGTGAAATTCTTCACATACAAACTGTACTGACATCTAGCATCTGGTTTAAGAAATTCACATTTTTCATGTGATAAATCTCTTTTAATGTAGTATATATCTCAATTATATCTAGTTTACAGATAATTGATAAGATTTTACTATCTGCTAGCATCAAAATTACATATATTTAACAAAAATACCCCTTATAAAACCCAATTTTTTCACCCAAGATTTTATGATGCTTTGTTTTCAGTTGACTTGTTGTTGGGAGGGACTAATAATATAATTTGATGATTTCAGTTTTATATTTCTAGTATCAGAAGAACCTTAATAGTAGATATTGCTGTTTTGTCAGAATTTCCCTTTTTCACACATTATTCTCTATTTAAATGAATTTTTCTGCTTGTAAATGAATGAAAACTGATGAAAATGATAGATATCTAACTATCTGAAGTTATTATCAGATGTTTATTGATGGCACTAGACTGGGTGGGACGATATTTATTATATCTTTAATTATCTGACAAACACATTTCTACTTTTATCTCATACTAGTGCTCAGAAGATATTAACATAACTTGCTAGGTCTGGGCGATAGTGACAATATTCAATATTATGATATTCACCTTATATATATGACAACACTTTTTTATGAGGATTTTTCTTTTTACATGGGAAAGGAGGGGTACGGCCAGTTTCTTAGTGGACAATTGCATACCAAAGAAATGAGAAATAGTGCAAAGCTCACCACAATTTTATAACAGCCTCACCAGCAATGACTTGATTCATTTCAAACAGTTTCAAGTTTACTAGTAGTGAGTTCAAGATTGTTTTCCATTTTTAGTGTCAAATTAAGCAAACTAATTGAATAATTGGTGTTTCTAATGAACTATCATGTATACTTAATCATATTCTTATGTTCTTATTGCAAATAATTAAGAGTTTTACCCAATCATAAATGTTTATGTATGTACAGTCTGGATAAACAACTAAAGACTTTATGACCTTTCTTTGGTTACTCATTGGAATTACTAGTAATTCTCTTCCAATTTGGAGAATTATAAATTAATTATGGACATGTGAGACAAACTGGTATTTTTCCAAGTCATAGGAACACCTCTACTTTCTATTCATATAAGTATTAGCATTTTCATTTGAAAAGAGTAAATTTGTATCCATTGATATCACAAAACATTCAGGGTTGATTTTTTGAAAGACTGAGAAAGAAATGATATATCATATCAGTTTTTGGTATGTTTCTTTAACTGATGGAACTACTAACACAAATAATTCAATTATGATATACCATGAAATCGGTACACCTCCAGGCCGAATAACTCACTATCTGAGAAAAAACATTTTGTCTTGAACTTTATTTTCTGATCTGTTTAATTAGTTAATAAGACTTTAAACATCCTAAATTGTCTCCAATTCTTAGTTATAAATTGCAAGGCCATGGGCTCTACAGGTGCATGTTTGATGTCTTTGTGAGATCTACACAAGCACCAATATTTAGAGATGATCAAAAGTCTAGTATTTATGTTAAGAAAATGATGAATTTTCTGCATTGAAAAAATACTTAGTAACATTGCAAATGAATATTTATAAAATTAGCAGATTTGATGAACCAGTAGCAGTGCATGTAAATGTTTTTGTTTACTGGACTTGAGGATACATACGATCATTTGTTGCTAGCTGATTACATTGCGCTCTCGGTCTCTTGTATATACAGAAGGCATTACAGGAACATTTGAAAGGTAGTGGTTTATAGACAGGA